TTAGAGTGCATTAGAGGTGGAGAGAGAGAGAGAGAGAGAGAGAGAGAGAGAGAGAGAGAGAATGGATCATAATAATGTAAGATGTAAAATGTGAGCTCAGAGCAGCAGCAGTTAGGGTAAGGGACATGCTTTAGTTTCCTCATCTATAAAATGGAGATAAGAACACTGCCTTCATTTTGGGCAGGACGGCCACTTACTTTATCCAAACAAGGACAATTTTGTTAGTGGAAAGTGTCACTAACAGGCAGTACAGCTTTATAATGTTAATTATTGCAAAACTAAAAAGCATTATCAAACAGTAAAACAGTTACAGATTTATATCATGCAAAAATGACAAAACCATTCAATCATAAACATTCAGATGTTCAACAGCAAGGCTGTTGAGCCTCTGTTTTGTTTCATGTTCATGGAATTTTCCATGTTTTTCACTGACCCCACCAAGTGGTAGGCTAGTGGTTTAATGGGTTTTGCATGCTCTATCATGGACCAAAGCTGGTACCTGAGGTGGGGGAGTCCCACCGTTGACAGAGACCAAGAAAAAGAATTATTTATCCCCAGCCTCTTGTGTCTGAGTGTACTGCGTTTTATCAGCAAGTCCCTTTGATCTATCCTGGAAAGAGTCTCAGTTATGACATTGCTCTGGAAAGAGCCAAAGAGGCCAAGGACAATTATAGTTATTTTCTACATTTCACCACACGTTAAAGTGAGAACTTGTGCACTGCATATGTATACTCCCACCGCAGAAGATCACAGCATGACAGAAACCAGATGTACAAAGTGGAGGTCAAAAAACCCATCTCAGTTTATTTTAATGCAAGTGTTAATAAGTGATTGGTTTAAAATGAATAATCCAGGACAAATGCTAAATCACACAAGGCATCAGGAAAATAGGCAAAACCAGGATGTGCCATGGTAAATTAGGCTGTATGATCACGCTACTCACACAGTTGTTGGGGATTAAGTCAGGTACTATGATGGGATGTGCCTGGAAAAGTGCATGGCATATGGCAAGCACTCAAGCAGTGTCAGCTCTTGTTACCATTTTTTTCTTACCGTGGTTCAGACTCAGAAAACTTTAAAAGCACTACCTTAGAGAAAAAGATGCCATTTCCTAAGGGACAAATAATTGGAAATGTCTCCTGCTCTTTTTTTTTTTCCCAAAATTTAATCGTTAATGACAATTACTGCCTTGACTGCAAAGGTCAAGCATGATTTGTTTTGCTTTCCATCATTCCCTCAAGCCTTAACTTTGTTAATTAAACTTCATACTTTGAATATCCATTTTGAGATGCACAGTCAAATTGAGGAACATCTCCATGTAAACCATATAAGCTTGGATTTCTCAAATATATTTTAAAGAAAACAAGGCAGTGATTATAACCATGTGTGTATATGGCTAAGGGTGAATACAGGAAAAATAGACAGCAAGGCAGTCCAGGAATTGGGAAGCCAATGCTGGGGTCAGTTATTTATATGGATATTAAAGATCCTCCAGGAAAGGTAAAGTTAATAAGAGTGTTGGGTTGATAGTGAAAGCGGTGCTAAAGTCAGTAATAAGGAATGTGGCTGGAGGCTGATAGATAACAGCAGTGATAGGGGAAATCAGCAATGAGGTTGAAAGACCTGAACTTCAGAGGCTCCAATGGAGCTGGGTTTGAGGAAGGAGGAAAGGGAGATGATTGTTCAGGCATCACAATGAGGAGCAAGGAGGATACTTGAGATGGCTGATAGTGGTGGACATTAAAGAGAGACTCCTTAGAGATGCTACATATAATTACTTGCCAACTCTACTGGCATGTCTCACAAGCATCTAAATTTAGCAGCATCAAAATATGACTTTTGAGTTCTACCCCAAATCTGCTTCTGTCACAGTAGTCCCCATCCTAAATAGTAACACTGCCCACACAGTTGCTTAATCCAAAAATCTGAGCCATATTGTTCTTTTCCTCACCTTCCCACATCAAATGCATCAGCATGGCCTATTGGTTTTGCCTCCAAAGGATAAACCACTACAATGTAATTTTCATCAAGGGATTGCACTTTGTCCTGTTCAACAATGTATTCTAAGGCTGCAGACATTGCCTGGCACACAGTAGGAAGCAAATATTTGTAGAATGAATGCATGAATCTTGAATCTGACCTCTTGGCTCTATGCTCATGACCAACACCATAGTCAAAGCCACCAACATCTTTCATCTATATTTCTACAATGGCCTCCTAACTGATTTGCTGCTGCTACTCTTGCCCCCACAGACTATCTATGCAATAGCCTGACACTTGGTATGTTGAAACTAACCAATGGATTTTTATTAGTTAGAGTAAAAATCATTCCTTTACACTGGTCTGCAAAGTCCTATATGAACCTGAAATTAGCTATTTCTCCAACCTCATCTTCTACTGCTTTGCCTTTCTCATTTGCTACTCCCTGCTCTAATACTGTTCAACTTTCCCAAAACTAACTTTATCATAATAAGACTCACCAGGACTCTTGTGAAGAATACCACAGTAATTTAGTGACCTTCCTGTAGACTCTGATTCATAAGGTTGAGGGTGGAACACAAGAATCTGTACTTTTAACAAGCACTCCAGGTGATTCTTATAATAAGATTAGATACAGATACAGCCTAAGATTCCTCCCCATAGCATTTCAATTATTCAGATATGAGAAGCAAAATGAAACTAATTTTCTATCTCTGGTCTAGGAGAACATGCAGTCAATGGCCACCTACTATGCTATGCCAGGGAATTCTGAGAATACTGCTTATGTGCTGAAATATCCTACATTCTAATAAAATTTCCTGGGTAGCACAAGTGACATCAAACTTGTGTCACTTTGTGCTAGACTCCTGTGGATGAGGTTGAAGAAATGGTTATCACAGGGAGGCAGGGAGGAGAAAATTGAGAAAGGCTTGATATTCAACAATGTACAGAAATTGTGTGTGTGTGTGTGTGTGTGTGTGTGTGTGTTTCCTTAGGCTGTGGCAGAACAGAATATTCCTGAGAGGTAGCGAAGAGAAAGAGACATGGCAGCCAGCAGGATACGAGTCCAGAGTATGTGCAGGAAACATTTTGTAGATGCAGGTGGGACTCAGTGAGCTCATACACATCTAAGCTCCACAGCCTAAGCAACACATAAACCATAACAGATGCTTAATTTTACATCTAGACCTGGAAGCCTTAAGCTTGACAATGAAACATTTTGGTTTTGCTCTGATGGGGTAGCATATAATTATGGCTTTAACAGTAGGTTTAATTTATTGATTGGGGGCGGGAGGGGGCGGATTTTGAAAACTATCTCTTATCTCCTGTATATAAAATTTTCATTTTAATTTGCTAGTGATATTACCACAGGCACTAGCATTCTCCATACCAAAGGGCATGTTTCTGTCCCAGAATCTGAAACTGAAAACAAGTGTGAGCCTTCTGTTGTCCTATATAAAATTGGCTTATCAACCAGAGCGGTGCTTCTCAAAGGTGTTCACACACTGCAGTTACTGGGCCGGGGAGGGTGCTTCAGAAATACTGAATGCTGTGCTCCATCCCCAAACTGGAATTTACTTGGTATGGGGCGTGGACAAGGTTTGGGACTTTTGAAACATCCCTGGGGTTATCTAACGTGCAGGCAAGTTGTTTGAGAACCACTGAACTGGATATTTTGAGCCATGTATTTCAAAGCTCAGTCCCCTGGATAAAGTTCAGGTTTCTGCATTAAAGTTTAAGTTAAGATGATGAAATCCATGTGACTGGATTTATCAAGTTGCAATCAACATGGGTAGGAACCTTATTTACATAAAGTCAGAGCAATTGATGAAAAAGTTGAAGTTATAGCACAAAGTTCCACATACACATACATACAATTATCAATGTTCAAAACAGGATTTTAAAGTAATTTTGTCAGATTAAGTATATATCTCCAGTCGGAGTTGTCAGCTAAAACACGGGGCTCCTAGTTAAATTTGAATTTCAGATAAACAATGAATAATTTATTAATACAGTCAAATCTCAGTTCTTGAACGTCTCCCATCTCGAACAATTTGGTTTTCGACCAAGTTGTTCACAGAAAAAATGTCTAGGTTGTGGAACAAAACTTCAGTTTTTGAGCTGATAACCCTCTCATGGTGATACCTCAGCATGACAAAAAGCATCTCTCAGACAACAAAGGAGAGAATGCTTTTGTTGTTGGTGAAATAGAATATTTGCATAATTTTAAAACACAGAGAGGTGTTCAAGAGTGCTAATATTGCTAAGGGTGTGAAAGAAGCAGTGATCACAGGCAATTGAAGAAGTAGAAAAACTGTTGTTGATTTGGATAAAGGAAAAGCAATTAGCCCTGTGACAGCATTTCAGAGGCAATGACATGTGAACAAGCAAAGATGCTGTAACCTGACCTGAAAGACACCCCTGGCACAAGTGCTGAAAGTGATTTGTTAAGGCTAGTAAGGGGTGGTTCAATAAATTAAAAACACACACAAGTGTTTATTTATAGATTAAACAGTACACCAGACATGTACTATATATAAGAAAGGTTAAAACAGGGAATCATTTGGGGGTCTGGAATGGATTAATTCAATTTACATTGTTTCTAATGGGAAAAAATGATTTGGTTTTCAAACAAATCACTTCTCGAACAGCATTCTGGAACAAATTAAGTTTGAGAACCAAGGTTTCACCGTATAAGTATGTCCCATGTAATATTTGGGAATATATATA